CAGGCTATATTAGATGAGAAAAGGAGTATATTGTAAGATAATGAAATCACGTCACGTAGTAGAACATCGAAAAACGACATATGCATCCATTGTTTTGATTAAAATCTGTTTTATACGGTCCGTCTAAATGAGGCGAAATATTGAATATTGTTGATTCATACTGTTTTCCTTGGTTCGTGTGTTTACGCCAATCACTGTGCAACTGTGCAGTAATCGTCAGGTCAATCGGGTTCCACGTGGTGTTAATCGACCAATAGGAATACAGAGTTTTATGGATAATCGACACGCGCACGGTATTTAATAGTTGACTAAACTCAGCTTTTCAAGTAAAGTTTACATATACAACATAACACTGAAAACAAAAACCTTTCGTAAAAAGACGTAAGTCTACACACGCGACCCGCTAACATGGACATGTAAAATATTAATAACGCAGTCTGTACCAACTATGACAAAAACAAGAGGTCTTTGACAATGATTGAAGCCAATATATTTGTTGACGCTGTTCAATGTTGTTATTTAGCTTGCATATATATGTTGCTATGGTAATATCTATACAGGGCGGTATTAAATACACACTCATATGCAGTTATGACGTCACTGCCACTCCAATCTAATGCTTAATGTTACGACTTCGAGGGAGTGTTATTGTCCCCCGACCTCTCATTGGATAATCAATCATAAAATCAACACGTGATCCGTCATGGCCTTGTTTAACTAATATGTTATTTGTTTTATTTAATATTATTTGACTCGCTGACTGTATACGGTATACCTAATTGTCAGATAGGTCTGAATTTCATGTGACCGGCGTTAGAAATAAAACGGTATTGACAGGTTTTGTCCCAAGGTTTGTTTTTTCATCATGAAAATAACCTGACAACCACGGAAGCTGTAAGCAATCTTAGACAAGGTACAAGAATTCTTGGTATGCAGCAGTGTCAATGTACTGTATACAACGCGGTGTAAAATTGGTGCGAATATTTCCGCTGACGTTAGTCACCTTATACCACCCTTGGTCAAATGACCGACATTCAGTTTTCATTGCATAAACTGACTTTTTATATGTTTAGAAATGTGCACGGGCTCTTGCGTTAACTCACAGTTACTAGTTCTAGTAACCGTGGTTTACTCGTCGGCAAAATCACATATTTTCGCGTCTCATGTTATGTAATATCTCAAAAGAGTGTGACATTGTGAGTACGCTGGCCTCAAATAAAGGACGCTCGGCGTTCTTTTGGTACATTAAATACACTGTGGTCATGAGTTCACACTTTACACGCACGTCAGTAGTAGAATACATAATGTTTTAACAATGTTCGTACATGTTTCAAAAAAACAAAAGTTTAACTTCTTGAAGTTGATGATGGCGCTCTTCAGAATTTCACATCTGCTTTAACCAATATATGTAGGTGGATCATTTGTACGCACTCTCGAGCGTTAAGTGACTATAAATAACATGTTAGATTTCTCCGATAACTTAATATAACGTGTCAACAGGTAAATGTATTATAGGACAAACACACATGTATTGCAATGATACGAGCGTTCAACATAATTCCTGTATTTTCGTAAAGTTGAACGAGCGGGGAAGATAGTCTTTTCTGAAATATGCACAGTTTTACCATCCTTGAAGTATATGCTTGATGATAGCAAGCAATAATATATAATAAATATACGGGATATCGAGAATTTTTTGAGGATTTATTTCAATCTAATAAATTTTCGACTCGAGGTGGAACAATAGCATGGACACACTTCCAGGTCTCGGGGATGTTTTACAATCATTATATCCAGCCTATTTTAAAACGGTATGGCATAAACGAACACGAAATATGAATATCGTATACTATGTTATTGTTAGATGTATTGAGGTGAACGCAAGCAAGGTATATGATTCCAGTTGTCTACGACCTCACACATTGACCTACTCTGTAGATGCACGTACCCACAACGTTTCAATGAGAGTCTTACGGAATATATATTGTGTGATATTGACAACACAATACACGAGTTGTTACCCCCGCCCTATCAACGAGCTTTTTCAGCGCCAGGTCACAATGCCGACTATCGGTAATGCAAAAAGGCATTGTAACGTGTTGTGTTTTTTAAACCACCGCTGATGGGAGAATGGAGATAACGATGCAGAAATAATGTACCCATCTTATTTTACGTATGCATTTCGTAATCCTCGCCTGTGGGCGGTATTTAGCTTATGTGCGGTTCAAAAGCGGCAAATCGAGGTGATATACATGTATATTGTTCATTCAATATTGATCCTCGAATTGGTGGAATTCGATTGGACCTTTTTTGTTTGCAACTGTGGTATGCTGGAATGACAGTTCAAATCAAATCCCGACTATACGAGTTTATGCCAGACTCGAGTAGCAAACGTAGTAGCACATTCTTTTAGTCTTTGGTTGTTAATCGTAGTGCGCATGCTCGAACTGCAATTCTTGAGTGATTCATCGATTTAATCTTCGTGGGTTAAACACCAAAGCAGCGGAGTACAAAGTGTGTGGGCACAGATCACAAGGTGAGTCGGAAACTCTACAGTGCACTGCGTGAGAACGTGAACTCGTTTCGAAGTCGTTCGCTACTTGGGATTACATACTCGCAGATTTTCACCGTGACGGATACTCAACTCTGCGTTGACCATTGCGGGTGAAGGAATCAAGGTGTGCCCAGGCAGGGAGATGCCACGACACTGTACGTTCTGCGAAGAAAAGCTAACTTGGGCTGTTTATACATAACGTTAAGTCACGTACGATTGCCTCGCTAATTCAATCGGTGTTCTTATTTAAAATATTAACCATATTTAGTTGTTTTCTGTTTGTCGTTAAGTACACGCTGAAAAACACGATGCGTACACACGCACTTTTTTGTGTTTGTCTTTTCATTTTTGTCTTGTCCCTAACCGCGAAATCAAACGACGTATCGCTGGAGAGCAACGTTTGGGGCGAAGATGTAATCGAAATACAAATCGCCGTCATTCTTCCTAAGGACACTGACACACCGCCGGAAATACGACACTATCCGTACAGGTTCGAAATGGCATGTCCCGCGATCGACATCGCTGTTGAAAAGTTGATGATGGCGGAACATTCTTTCGGTGGACGGAATGTGACCATGACAATTAGGAAAGTGGACTCTGGATGTTCTAATGCCGTTGCTCCGATTCGTGCCGTAGAGTTCATCACGGAAAAACAAGTAGACGTATTTCTCGGACCTGCGTGTGACTATGCCGCCGCAGCCGTCGCCAGATTCGCCGCTCACTGGGCCATACCTTTCCTGACGACTGGTGCTAAAGCAAAGGAATTTGCGATGAAAGACATGGCTGATTTCCGCACACTGACACGAGCTCACGGTCCCTTTTTAAAAATGGCCGAGTTTATGATGGAAATATTGCGTACGTTCGAGTGGAATAGAACCGCAATTATTCACAGTGATAAAGACGTTTCCCTGTACAGAGACTGCTGGCTGTTCGGCGGTGCCCTGTTTCATTTGTTTCAGGGAGCTGGTTGGTACGATCCTGGCAAGGGCTACCCTGGGTACCAAAAATTTGAGGAGGACCTTGATCCCAACTATCGCGAAATCCTACAAGAAATCGTTATGCCACATGGTAGAAGTAAGTGAATTAAATTATATATATATCGCTAAGCATTTCCCAAAATGAAGCATTTAAATACTCATCATGTCTACGCGTGAAACGAAATGAAGGGCTATTTTTAAAGAGTACAAACATATTCGTGTTATTTTCTGACCCGACAAATAACGTATTTTCTCCAAAGCGAAACGTAAATGTTGACTCTGGTCTCGCATTGTTATGATTGAGCACGGGCGTTTATCTGTTCGTGATACTGCCGTCCCCACCTAGAGCCACATTCTTCTTACTTGGCACAACATGAATGACGGCGCATACGTCGAAAGTGCCGACGCGTGCTTTATTTCCTCAACGAGGTGGCATTTAAAACGTTGGCTAATTTGCGACAGTGAGAAATGCGACAAAGCACTAAGTACCGTCGACGTATGTGGTTCAACAATTGCACCCAGGGGAGAAGCACGCACGTATCTACCACTCTCAAAGACACGATTTTAAAATGTAACGAGCGTATTGGGTATACGAGTGGCTTCTGATCTGTCAACAGAAGAAAAAGTGGTTATATTTATTAGCAGACAATCGCGTCGCTCTAGTAGTAAACGTAAGACCTATATATACGACCCCCATATATTTTCTGAATGCTGTAGTTAATAATTACCTATCACAAAAAGTAACGATGACATTTTTAATGAGTCCTCGTTATCATAAACACACGAATGGTTTTTATAATCGTCTAATTATTATTTATGCATGTTTTGGGAAATCGACATTAGCCGATATAAGGAAGTAATTAATGAATATCATTAAACACTAAACATGATCATGTGTAGTATTTAATTAGTGACAACATTAATTAACTATTGTCAAATATGGTTATTGATATTATCATTCAAAAAACCGTAATTATGATGAATTGGTTTTCTGGGCAGTGATGATGAGATTATTAACGGGCAGTGATCGTAGCTGCTGAGCGCGCGCCGGAGTTTCGTGTATCGCGTTGTGTATCTTGCACGGAATCCACGTCGAACACGACGTGGATCGACGATCAACGCCTTTTAACTGTTATCAAGTAATTCCCGGAGAAATATGACATTACTAACCTACTATATGATCAATGTGTTCCATTAAGCCGTGATAGTTATAGTATTACATACTGTCAAATGCGATACTACTATCTTTTAAACATAAGATTACTTTTACCCTTTAAGCTACGAGAAGCATGCAAGGAAACATATTTTAGTTGACAAGGTAGTACAACGGTGTGGAGATGAGAGTGATAGGATAGAACAAATGTTGATTTATTCAAACATTGTTGAATAAATGCACTACACAAATCAAGATGCATACGATTTTAAAAGGTTTAACACGATACAGTGCGTGTTATCAGCGTGCGTACTGTCAAACGTGGTCTTATTGGATGAGTTCATTTCGTACATACACTTAATTGCAGTGTATGCGACCCATTATTCGCGATTCATATAGGTGTCATGAATACCATGGCAACACCGGTTTGTGTCATGAATTGAGTGTACTCTAAGAAATCCGATTTTTAAAACATCTTTTGAAAAGGGGGTCAATACGTCGATTTTTTAAAGTGCTAACAAAAAAGTGTTTACATACAAACGGCCTATGGGTGCTAAATGAAGACAAACGCACGGTACGGGTATCTAGTGGCATCCACCATTCAGACACTATTAAATAATACTTCGTCCTGATTGGTTACGCCTAACACAATAATTAGAAGAAAAAAACACGAATGAAAAAAAAGAAAAAAGTATTCAAGAATGTATATTTGCGTATTTAATATTCGTTAATAGAAACATTCAGATTGCCAACAAAATTTTACTGTAAATTAGTCGCAGTTTGCTCCATCGTAATTTGTGACGCTGTTATTGCGAAGTAGGTTCAATTCACCCGTGTAGATGAAAACAAAATTTTCGTGACACGTTCTGAATAATCATACTGTTGAGTACATCTACAGCGCGATAATTTTACCGGGTACACATACAATTTGTTATGCACTCATGCATATAATTACTCGTACTCTCCGAAAAACTAATATTATTACTACCGCTAACACCTGAATCATTTGGCGTAGTTACAATTGGTGGTTACAGTGAATGTGAAGTAATAATAGTATTACTGTTCACCTCTACAAGCAGTGGGCGCGATGTTTATAAAAAGTACGACGGTTATTGGCACCTTCAGCTAGCATAGCTCATGTTCATGTCATGCTCAGCGTGCGG